GTAAATTATGATGATGGTAGTAATTGTATTTATGGCATATAAAAAGTGGTTGCAATTACCTTTGCGACCACTTTTGCAACCATCCTTTTTCCTTTTTTGGATTACGGCACTAGTCTTTATTTCAGAGATATTTTATGTTCATATTTTATTATTAAGATATTATTGTTATTACAAGATAAAAGTTAAGAATGAATTATTACATGAAAGAGAAATTGACAATGTATTTATACATGTTAAAGGTTCTATCATCTAGTTATCTGACTTTGTTGAAATCCTAATTTATACTAATTGATATATTCTTTAAACATTATTTGAACCTTCCATGTAGAATTATTTTCAAGTAATTTCTAGTCATGTAAAATTCTTTTGTTTAAATATTATTCTGAGACTTTGTAATCCGTTACATTTTAGAATGTTGGAATATTTATATCTCCAATATTTGAGTTATTTTCTGAGAGCTATTTATTTGATTGGTGCATCTTATTAATTAGTGTAACATTTATTAAATTATACGGGTTTCCAATTTTTCACTTCATAACAACATAGCGCGCTTTATCTGTGATTGGTTGATCCATAAAGAAATTGATTGGATAATTTATAATATGCCGATCATTATTAAAACTTTCAAGAAAATAAAATAAGTATATCTTAGCAATATTTTTTATTTGTAATTGGCGGTAAATAATTCAGCAAAACATTAGGTGAAAACTCTTACTATAATTACTATGTAATAAAGTACACCTATGGTTTGAGACAGCATATCCTATAACATTGAAAACCAACGAATGTATCATTTACTCACTACTTGATATATTAAATTATTACACAGTTCTTATCTAATGAATGAAAGATATTGAATATTAGATATTGATATATTAAATCTTGAATAAATTATAAATATTATAAATTATAAATATTAAATTGTATTAAATAAATTATAAATATTATAAATTATAAATATTAAATTGTATTAAATAAAATTATAATTATTAAATAAATTCATGCATACATTCTCACCATAGACTAATAACACCATTATAACCAACTCATGTCTTTTTTTGGTTCAGTAATCCTTTACATGACATGATTTAGAACTATGAGATAGTGCAAGAATTATGATTAACGTTTATAAATGTACCTTCTAACAAATTAAATAAAATACAAAGAATAATTTAAATAAATGTTTTACTCATCCAAATCACTAACCAGAATATTAAACAGAATGTGGGCTTTCTATTGGTATTATTTATGGTCCCTAACAGTTTTTAAATGATTTAATTTGAGTTTATTATTTTCAGTGAACATATGATTTTCTAATTGCAAAAAAGACTTCTATAACTAACTTCTGAATTACTTCACTTTTTACTGAATTATTTTGGCAATCTATAAAATAGAAGGTGAGAAATCAGAATATGTTGTTGTTATTGCCGCAAAATTGATTTTGGTGATGCAAAGTCAAGTTAAAGTCAGATGATGGTCAGTTTGTATATAAAACATATGTAGTGTAATTAATGCTGATCATTTCTTAAAATTGAATACCCGCTATGTTGGGATAACAGCAAAACTTAGGTCACACGATCTCATAAATAACGTGATCATAATGGCTCAGTGAAAGATCTGCATTTTTATAATTTGAATGTAAGTGTTTCAATTTGGGAATGATCTACATCTATACCAATTGTCATTTGCACAAAAAATTGTATTACACTTTTTGTCTAAAGGATGATATGGCAATTAATTCTCACATTCTCATATACATAAATGCTATAATTAATCATTCTTTATCTGATATGCATTTCCTTAAATATATTTTGTCAAAAAGAGGCCACTTTTGTTGTGATTGAAAAGAGAGAAGTCATCAAGAATCCTTGAGTTTTGTTCTTTAGATTTTCCTTTAGCAGGATGCATTGTTTATAATTTTCAAATAAGTAAGAGTTATTACACTCAGAACCAAATAAGTTGTTTGAAAAATCCAGAAACTCCAAGAGACCATAATATATTATAAAGGAAAATTTATTTACTCCAATGTTGCTTTTAAAATGCTTGATTTTATTAATAAAATTAATTCTTTTTTCGCTTGTGCTTTGTTGATACCTAAAAAGGCAAATGATTGTCATGCACGTGATAAAAATGTCTTACCTGGGGTGGGGGAGTACAGTCAGGGATTTTACCAAATTTGGGAATTTCCAAATACTGTAATGATAAACGTGGCAAATGTGGCAAATGCAAATTTTGATCGACAAATAAACAAGTTTGTGGCAAATTAAATTTTATTAGTTTTAACAAATTCATATATAAAATTTGTTATACCAAAATTACTGATTGCATTTCAACAAATTTATTTTTTTATGTGTGAAGCAAAAATTTTAAAGTAAATAATTAAAAGATTCATAATTAGATAAAATTATTTTGATAGGATAATTTAATAGATTTTAAATAAAATAAAAGGTAATTGTAACATTAATAAAATTAAACAAATCAATTGCTTGAAGATTCTAAGTCTTTAATAAATCTATAATCAAAAAAAAAAAAAAGAATGGCTTAGTATAAGTTATAAACAATACAATAAATAACAACAATTTTATACTTATCTTATTGCACTTGGCTCAATAATTTTCATTTTTTAAAGTTTATTAGTTGCTATTTTTCCTCCTATATCATGTCTTCTGCTTCATTATTATCATTTCCATTATAAAGATCTTTAACTTGTTGCAAAATTGATAATAATTCATCTTTACTCTTTGACTTTATTCCTTTAAACTGTGGACAATTAGCTTCATTCAAGGATCCCAATAATGTTTGGATAACTGATAATAATTCTTTTTTTGACATAGAACTTTCTGTTGATTGCTTTTCTTCTTCATCAGCAGCAACAGGAATGAGATGGGTAACACCCATTTGCTCTTTAGAACTGAGCTTTTTTTTGATATAATCTATTCAAGAAGCTTGGCATCAGGAAAATGGGTACAAATATTATGCGTATATAATATGCAATTGCAGGGATTAAGCATATAATATATGTACAATTTGCATACATAAAAAAATACGTGATTTGTATGCATATTATATGCTTAATCCCTGCAATTGTGTATTATATATGCATAATATTTGTACCCATTTTCCTGATGTGGGCTAAAGAAGTAAATGATTTCATTGCTTCACTTAATTTATTATCCCCATCCAAACTTTCAAAGACAGGATTAAGCTTGGATGGATTTAAGAAATTTTTTCTTCTTAATATTGCACGAAAGCGTTGAGATTCTTTTTCAAAAGTTGGTTTTGAATGAGAGCCTGTGCTTTCTTGACTTGAATATCCAATAGTAGAAAACAACATTTTTCGTAACTATCAACAAAAAAAGAGTTGTAAATAAGCTATCATATGGTCTATGTTTACCAATATCAATAACTGTTTGAGATTTTGCCAAAGAATATTTGATTGCTGAGGCAGCAACATATTTTAAATTCCTTGCACCATAGATAGCATCTACTACCATTGCACATTTGAAAAGGTTTTCACCTTTATGTTGATCTTTGTTTTCATTGTAAATAAGAGCTTCTATAAATTTAACAATAACTGGATTGCGTTTAGCAAGCCACTCTGAAGGTGAATATGTTAAGAGACTATCCAAAGTAAATCTTTTTTGATCATCAATTAAATTAATGATATCTTCATATGGGGGGTTTTCTAGCAAAAGGTAGCTTAAGTCATATTAAATTATTTTGAGAAAATGACACCTGAAAATTTGTTACACGAAAATTGATTGTTTTGAACCCCAAAAATTTATCATAAATTTTGGTGAAACGGCCGAATTTTTGGTAGGGCAAAAATTTAAAAATAAATTTTGGTGGAATGGCTGAATTTTCATTAATTAATTCTTTATAAATAATGCAAAAATTTCTTATAAAAAAAATTTTTATAAAAAACCAAATATCTAGTATAAAACATCTGAAATAAAACCTAAACCTTATTTATTAAAAACTTTACCATTTATAATTATAACATGTTTTCAAATTTAAATCAATCATCTGTAGATTTAATTCAAAGTAATATCACAAGTAATTTAAATCTAGAAAATGGCATGGAATTATCACCTGAAAATTCAATTTTACCAGATGAATTATATGATTTAGGATTAGAAGCATATGAACCAAATGAATTAGTATCTGAAGCAGTCAGGATTTGAAATAATTTTTTGAAGATGAATCAAATTGCAAATGTCATAAAAAAAAAGATAAAATATGTTTTAAAAAAATTGGCTTTAGAAATTTTTTGGAAAGAAAATTCCAGTTAAAAATTAGAAGACAATGAACTGGATCTTTGTATTAAAACACAATTGATGGTTTTTAAATTAAATGATGAGGATGACAATG